TGGCCGTCGAGAATAGACTCAATGATTTGATTAAACGCGATGAGCAAACCCATCCGCCCCGACCCACTCACCCGCCCCAACCTACCACTGCCAAGGCTTAAGCAAATGTTATGTTTGTATTAAGTTGTTGAATGTGTGCTTAATGTATTAATTTAATAAAAAATTCATTTTTTAATTATAAGGTACAAATTGTTTATGGTTGTTTGAATTATTTTACCAATTTAATTTTTGTAATAATATTTACTTTTATAATAGAAAATAAAAGTAGATTGATCTAGAAATATCCAGACTTTTTATTTATAATTGATTATACTTACGTTTAATAATTAATTTTTATTTATGTTATCTAACACTATATTAGTGCATGATATATTATTAGGCGCCTAATAAATTATAATAAGATACTTGATCAATGATTATATTCAATTTCGCAATTAATTATATTTGATAATTACATCCTTATCAATTGTAAAGATGATAAAAATAATAAGGTATACTATAGATTAGTATTAAATATCAAAATTATTTTACACATTTAACCTTGTAAATTAATAAATATAAAGATCATTTATATCCGTTTGAACCAATCAATCACATATTAAAATTGCATTTGGCACACTGTCTATTATTTTTATTTTTAGTTGCAGTTTATTTGTGATACTATTGTAGACAGGTGAAATGAAAGTATTACTTATTAATAATAAGTTATCATCATATAAGATAAGCATAACCTCAAGACAACAAATAATAACTAACAAAAATTAATTAATTACATTAACATTATATTATATAAAAATAAATATAAGCATGCAAAATAATATTTTATTAATGTTTAGGTAAATTATAAATTTTAATTTTTACAATATTGTTAAAATGTTATTAAAATAAAAAATTTCAACAACTTTCAATTACTACAACATGTGATTGATTGTGACAATTAGTACCTACGTCAATTTAAATCTGTATTATTTTTATAAACTATTGAATTAAGGTTAAGGTCTAATGATAAAGGTAAATTCTCAAGCATTTTAAAAAATAATTAATTGATATTAATTATAAGAGTGAAAATATGGTAGGTACATTAGGTTTTTAAAGTATATTGTATAATATATCAATAATAAAAGATAATAATTAATTAAAAACATTCTTATGGTTAACTATGGTATAAAAAGGGAAAGCACTTTAACAGTAATTGTTTGATCATTAATACGAGACAAACAAATTATAAAATGAAGATCATTTTATTAATTGCTGCGTTCGTATGTTGTAAGTAACTTTAGTAAAGTTGCATGTTTAATAAAAAAAAGTTATAGTCTATTAGTTATAGTTTATTATCTTAATTAATCAATTAATTTCCAATTATTAACTACATCCATATAATTTAAATTAAACAGAATTTTATAAATATAAAGTTTACAGTATATCACAATAATTTCAAAACTAATCATATTAAAATTTTTACCATTATTTATAGGCGCATTGGCCGCACCTACCACTGCACCTGATGTTTATCGGGAGGAGTTGATCAAACGTGGCGAGGCGTTGGAGGCCAGGGTGCAAAAGAGTATTGCCAAGCTGATTGCCGAGGACCGTGGTCATTTGGCCGCTGAGCTCAAGGAGGAGGAGACTAGGGTCGAGGCGCTCATCAATGAGCTCAAGACTACGAGTCCCGGACCCGAGGCTCTCAGGCTATTGGAGGAGGAGATTGTGAGGGTTGAGGACCGCGTGACTCAAGAGGTCAGTTTTGAATTGTTTAGATATTACTTAGTTAATTATATAGTTTAATCTAGTTTAGGATTGTGCAGTTTAGCAATGTAATTTATAAATTTCAAAAGTATAGTTTATATATTAATAGCTTATAAAAACTACAAATCAATTACAAATTATTATTTATTAAGCCTCATTCAATAACAATATTGTTAAAACAAGCAACAAATTAATTACAATTAATTAATCATGCTAATTTACTCTATCACCAGGAGAAATTTATTGAGAAAGAGACCCAGACACAAGATGAGCTGTTAAAAGACGCCAAAATACTGCAAAACTACGTCACCCTAGAGTTGGCCGTTCTGGCCAACGTGACCGGACCCGATCGGGAAAAGGCCCAACTCATGGCCAAAGCCCTGCGCAAAGAGGAGCACCGGCTCGAGCAGATGTGCCAGGAGTTGATCAACGCTCAGACCCCTAGACGTATCGCTGAGCTTGAGGTAGAGGTGCGCGTGATCGAGGTGCACATTGTCGAGATACTGCGCTACGCTCATTTCGTGCCGCCCACACCCGCACCGGGACCGGTCACCCCAGGACCTACCCACTCGATGCACACTGTGCCCGGCACTGTGCCATCAGTCTAATAATGCTATAATGTAATTTAATAAATGTTAATTTTGATATTGATGATTTAAATTAATTGTAAATTATTTAAATTTGCTAATTAAAAAGTAATTTATGCATGTTATTTTATTTTTGTTATATTCTTGCATTTTAGTTTGTGAGTTTCTTTGAATTTAAGCGTGATAGAAAATAAAATTAGAAACTGTAGATATAAATTCATAAATAATATTGTATTGATATAAATACACTAATACAAACAATTGGAACCCAAAGACATGAATATTTCTAAATACTGTACTTTGAAAAGCATAATTACCAAATTAATTTTGAATACTTTTGCTTTAAACATTTTAAAAATTAACTAGAAAGAACAAAAAATAAACAAATAATTATTAACTAGATTTTTTTAAACAAAATTCCCAGAACTATATTACTTTATGTTTACATTTCCAAATATGAAACTATTTATTCAAAATAATTATTTATGATAAAACTATTTATTCACTATAAAAACT